AGGCAAAAATCAAGTTGGAAACTTTAAAAATTAAATTCGGGATCAACTGAACTCCGATTTCAGCAAACTTATAGTCAAATTGAGCGTCTCGGAAATACGAATCCAACGACACTAAATTCAACTCGATTCAAGCCCAAATGGGTCCAAATCAAGGACTCGAAGTGATGTTGGAAAGTTTGAACCACAATTTGAGCTACCAAACAGTTTTCAAACATGAAGTGCTTATAGTCGAATTGAGCTGCTCAACGAGACGAATTCAACGAGCCCAAGATTACTGAATTTCAACATCACTAAGACATTCAAATGTCCATCAAATGGTCCATGATCAAGGGATTCAACATCGGCCGTCCACCTAAGCCACTCCCCATATGCCCTTGATATCCCACCTATTTACGGGCCATGCCACTCTAGGAAATCTATAAATAGATCCCCTCCTCCCTCGTGAAAGGGAGGCTCCAAGCAAGGAACTTTTATTCTATCCAGTGAACGTACGCAGAGGAAGGTTCGGTTTTAGGCAAAAAAGTGCCTGTACCGAGTTTTTCGCGCCTGTACCGAGTTTTTTGAAAAAACTCGGTACAGGCGCTTTTTTTGCCTAAAACCGAACCTTCCTCTGCATACGTTCACTGGATAAAATAAAAGTTCCCAAGCAAGAGAGCAAGAGAGAGATCGGAGATCGCTCTTGCCTCATCGCTTATCCTCGACCACCGCTTGACATCGTTGCTCTATCAAACCACCACTTGAGGCTCTCGCCTCCAACGAACCACCACCTGAGGGCCTAAGCTCTGTCGAACCACCCCCTGACATCGCTGCTCTTTGCCGAACTACCACTTAAGGCCCGCACCTCCGCCGAACCACCATCTGAGGGGCTGAGCTCCGCCGAACCACCGCCTAACGCTGGAGTTTCGCCGGACCACCACCTGAGGGCCTAAGCTCTGCCGGACCACCACCTGACGCTTGAGCTCCGCCGGATCACCACCTCAGGTCCGGACTTCTGCTGGACCACCGCTTGAGGCCCGAACTTCTACCGGAGTACCACCCTACTACAATGGTCTTCTGACCCCGATATCTAGCCAATGGTCTTTTGGACCCCTGTCTCCTGCCGACTATGGTCCTTCTGATCTCTGTTGTCTACTACGGTCCTTCTGACCTACATTGCCAGACAACGGTCTTTCTGACATCGGTCTCCTGCATACTTCGATCCTTCCGACCTACATCACCAAACAATCATACATCGTTCGTTAGCCATTTGAAGGCCTTAATGATGTCGGAATTCAACGATCTTGGGCTCGTTGGATTTGTCTCGTCGAGCCGCTCGATTCGAGTATAAGATCGTTAAAATCAGAGACTGTTTGGTAACTCAAATTGCGGCTTGAACCTTCCAACAGCGATTCCGGTCCTTGATTTGGACCCATTTGGGCTTGGATTGGGTCGAATTTGGTGTCGTTGGGTTTGTATTTCTGAGACGCTCAGTCTGACTATAAGCTCGCTGAAATCGGAGTTTGAATGCTCTTGATTTTAATTTTTGAAGTTTTCGGTTGGGTTTTGCATCAAGATTCGTGCCCAATCAATACAATTTCATTATAACGTATCAAAAATTATTGGAGACTTGGTGTGAACATTGGATTCCTCTATCTATAAAATCATTCAGAGCATATGATCCTTATAATGTTTCATTCATTGTGCATTAACATGCCATGTAACTTGCAATAGTATATCCCATCAGATGGTTTGTAAAGTTGTATGGTCCAATCAAATCCTAAATTAATTTTTTGTTGCAAGTGATTGTAAGATATATTTACTCTCTGCTATTTAAAATGTGCATAGACATATAAAATATATTTGTAGAGATTTTACTTGAGTCATTTAGAATGTTTTGAACATGTATGGAAAGGTTTCGAGGCATCACCAACAAAGAAATATTTGATGATGCAAACTTAAGAATGCATGATTGTATTTTTTTTTTTTTTTTTTTTAAAAAGCCATTGATTGGGCATCATGGGAATGGAATATGAGGTGGTTTAAGTTAAATAATTTAATAACTAAAAAAATCATTAAAGCCATATTAAGATTAATACAATAAAGGGTTATCCGTGATCAGTTGAATGAGGAGGAATAAATTCTGATTTCGATAGAAATCAGAACTTATTTCTCCAATTTCTATTGAAACCAAAATTTATTCCTCCGCATTCAATACGTGTTGTTCGCCAATTCCCACCTAATTAAATTTTATATTTAATATGCTTCTTTCGCTTATTTCGTCGAAAAATATGCTCTTTTTAATAATTTGGATGACAAAAATTTTAATTTATAAGGTTAAAAAATTTTTTAAGAGGGATTTGCGTGCATAACACTCAAAAGTATTGATATGTCATAAAAAAATTATCTTGATCGGACACGAATCTCGAGGCAAAAATCAAGTTAAAAACTTCAAAAATTAAATTTGGGATCATCTGAACTCTGATTTTAGCAAATTTATAGTCAAACTGAGCATCTCGGAAATACAAACCCAACGACACTAAATTCAACTCGATTCAAGCCAAAATGGGTCCAAATCAAGGACTTGAAGTGCTGTTGGAAAGTTTGAACAACAATTTGAGCTACCAAACAGTTTTCAAACATGATGTGCTTATAATCGAATTGAGCGGCTATTCGAGACAAATCCAACGAGCCCAAGATCACTTAATTCCGACATCACTAAGACATTCAAATGTCCATCAAATGGTCCACGATCAACGGATTCAACATCGGCTGTCCATCCAAACCACTCCCCATATGCCCTTGATATCACATCTATTTACGGGTCATGTCACTCTAGAAAATCTATAAATAGACCCCTCCTCCCTTGTGAAAGGGAGGCTCCAAGCAAGAGAACAATAGAGAGATCAGAGATCGCTCTTCCCTTCTCGCTCCTCCTCGACTATAGCTTGAGTTCCGCCGGACCATCGTCTGACGTCGTTGCTTCGTCGGACCACCACTTGAGGCCTTCGCCTCCAACAAACCACCACCTGAGAGCCTAAGCTTTGTCGAACAACCACCTGACATTGTTGCTCCGCCAAACCACCACTTAAGGCTCTCACCTCCGCCGAACCACCACATGGGGGGCTGAGCTCTGCCGAACCACCGCCTGATGCTGGAGTTCCACCGAACCACCACCTGAGAGCCTGAGCTCCGCCGGACCACCACCTGACTCCTGAGCTCCGCCGGATCACCACATAAGGCCTGGACTTATGCCGGACCACCACCTGAGGCCCGAATTTCTACCGGAGTACCACCCTTCTACAATGGTCTTTCTGACCCCGATCTCCAGCCAATGGTCTTTTGAACCCCTGTCTCCTGTCAACTATGATCCTTCCGACCTCCGTCGTCTACTATGGTCCTTCCGACCTACATCGTCAAACAACGGTCTTTCTGACCTCGGTCTCCTGCATACTTCGGTCCTTCCGACCTACATGACCAGACAATGGTCTTTCTGACCCGGTCTCCTGCCTACTACGACCTTTCCAACCTTTATCCTATCAACTATGGCCATGCCGACCAAATAAACATGTCTATGTTGATTATTGTAACTCCCATCATGTAATGCGCTCTATATGAAATACATTTGTGACATCAAGCCAATGCCTTCTCCCTAAGAAGGGCCTCATTTATAATCGACTGCAAATACTAGTGGATTCATTCAAACTGGGCCAGGCCACATGGTTTTCCCCCTTTTTCAGGGGTTTCCACGTAAAAACTATAGTGTCTCTTGTGAACCCTACACCCTATATCTTATTTGATTATGTGCTAGATCTTCGTACAATGCTAAGAGTTAAATTTTATATTTCTCTACCACCGCGAATACTCCAGGACGCAACAAATATCAAATTTACATATATCACCTAAACTTCACAATTTACTAAATATAACACTTCATTAAACGAATTTGTCATAAACCTAGATGAAGATGAATTCGCCACACGATCACGTTAGACAATCGAATTTTTATTAGGTCCGGACACCTGACGTAGCTCTACGCCAATAAAATGTCGCCACATGCTCTTACTCTTTACCGTGCGGCCCGACGACCCGACCCGGACCGGAACCCAATATTGCTATGTATTAGTTGATTTGTACATACCAGGATATTGTTAGGTTTTGCTCGGTATTGTTCGGTGATGAGAAATATCATTTTGTCAAGATCAATACCTAGCAATATCGAGCAATACTTAGCAATACCGAGCAATACCCCGGTTTTGCTTAGTATTGCTTGGTATTGCTAGGTATTGCTTAGTATTGCTCGGTATTAGTCTTGAAAGAGCGATATTTCCCATTATTGTTAAGCAATACCGAGCAATACCTAGCAATACCGAGCAATACATAGCAATACCGAGCAATACCGAGCAATACCAAGCAATACTGAGCAATACCTAGCAATACCGAGCAATATCTAGCAATACACGAACATAGCAATACCGGGTTTCCGTTCTGGGTCGGGTCATCGGGCAGCACGTGGCGGCATTTTATTGGCGTTCGGATGTAGAGCTATGTCAGGTGTCCGAACCTAATAAAAATTCCAGACAATGAAGAGACAAGAAAGTCACAATAAAATCTAGTTGAGTAGCAGACTGATGACAAATGAAAATCAGAACTGTGCGAAGAAAGAGATCATAATTGGCTGAATCGATGTTGTGGGAAAGATGAGTTCAACCATATTGTGTTGTCTCGTCGCCACTTCATCTTTGTCATTAAGAATTTTATCAAGGTTCATTAAAAGAGTATTATTTTTTATAAATAGTAATATTTACTTTAAGTGATTTTGAAGTAAACCTCCATTTTAATGTACAAACTAAGATCATTGAAACTATTAAAGAAAATAAATAAAGGATTTTGATTCATTTACAGCCTACTTATATGGTGCTCCACTATTGTTAACACCCAAATCTCACTATCATCAAAACATGGCCGGAAACCTAATCTTCTTCCCCCTCCTCCTCTTCCTCCTCCTCCACTCCACCTCCTCCGACCCCGACCCGATCCAAGACTTCTGCATCCCCGATTCCGGCCCATCTCCACTACTCCAAACCCACCTCTCCACCTACCCCTGCAAAAACCCCTCCAACGCCACCGCCGCCGACTTCACCTTCTCCGGCGCTAGATCTCCTTCAAAACCATCTCCGGACACCGGATTCGCTGGCCTCTCCGTAACCCCATCCCTCTTCCCGGCCCTCCACACCCTCGGGATGTCGTTTGCTCGCGCCGATTTCGAGCCCGGCGGTGTAAATCCGCCGCATTACCATCCGCGAGCTACCGAGACGGCGTTGGTGCTCGAGGGGAAGATCTATTCTGGATTTGTCGATTCCGGCGGAAGGCTGTTTGCAAAGGTAATTACGAAGGGGGAGGTGATGGTGTTTCCGAAGGCGATGGTTCATTTTCAGATGAATGTTGGGGAATCACCGGCGGTGATATTTGGGAGTTTTAATGGTGAGAATCCGGGGGTGTTTAGGGTTCCGGCGACGGTTTTTGGGGCGGGGATTAAGGAAGAGTTGCTGGAGAAGGCATTTGGGTTGAGTAGGAAGGAGATTGAGAGGCTAGAGAGGAGGTTTGGGAGAAAGGAAGTGGAATTATGAGATTTTTCTCAAATTTTTATGTCAAAATATGTCTTTATTTTTATTAATTTCTAGCATAAAATATGTCTTCAAGTTGTAAGATGATGTGATTTCTTTTTTCTTTTTTTTTATCGTGTAAAAAATTTGTGTAATTTAAAATTTTTGAAAATAATATTTATTTTTTAAAGTATCCTAGAAAATGATGTGGGTATAATAACCTTTTTAGGGGTTTATTGGCATAGTATTTAGGGTTCATTTAATATATATTTTTATAAAGATGATTATAAAGTTATTTTTATTATGAATGAAGAAGCTTTTTTAAACGTTCATAAAGTATTGAGCGATCTTAAAAGTAACGTAATAATAAAGCTGTCTCAAATATGCCCTTAATATTATGATAGATTATTACGTGTGGTAATCGGGTACAGAGAATCGTTCGATTTTGTCTCTGTAAACAGTAAAAGATTGCGGTGAATAGTAAAAGCGCAATAATGAACAATAAATGCGCGTTGATTGTTTACAAAAACAAAATCGGATAATTCTCTGGTCCGATCTCCACACGTAATCATCTCTCTAATATTATGGTGTTTAGCCATATGTTATTTTAAAAATCACATTATTTTTTAGTAATTTTTATATGTATAAAAGAAATTCAAGCTAAAGAAAAATGTAGTTTAATGATCATACGCATAATAGATTAATTTTCTTTTGTTAAAATATAGAATTGTTTTATGCACAAAATAATTTGGAGCAAATAGGTGAATGTGTTGGTGGAGATCTTCGAGATTTGTAGTATGAACATAGCAATAGTATTAGGCTTTGCTTGGGACGGGTTTCTTACTGCTTCATAAAACAGATTTTTAGTATAAAAATTTAAATTTTTATACTAAAAAGCTGCTTTAAGAAGCAAGAAAAAAGTCATCCTAAACAAAGTCTTATGCTTTGTTTGTTTGAGCGCTTTTTTGGCTTCTCTGTTTTCTAAAACGGAGGAATTTTTTTTTTGTGTTGTTTGGTTCGTCAAATCACGTTCCCAATAACTCCTTTTTCTCATTTTTCTGCAGTTTTGAGAATGCTTTTTAAATGTGCTTCTCCGTTAGAAAACTCCATTTTCTGAACTAATGTTTTTTAAAACTGTGTTTTACAAAAGCGCAAAAAAAAACAAACGAAGCCTTAGTGATTGTTCAAATCTTAAAAGTGCTTATGGTGGGCTCTGCCTATTCTATTTTTTAGTGGTGAGTGGATTTGGTAGTGATGTGATGGAATTTTGAAATGTTGCATCAGCATTTTTAATTATTTGTTTTAGGTCTGAACATTCTCCCTTAATTTTAATTTAAAATGAATTTTAAAATAAATTTAATATATGATTAATCAATGTATTTTTATACCAAACATTTAAATTAAAAATTTAATCATTATCAAACTTAATTAAGCTTCATTGATACAACCTTCACTACATTAATCAATCCACATAAATTGAACTTACATTAGAGCTAAGCTCTTAGGTCTCATTTGGGATGATTTTTTTATTGCTTCTTAAAACAATTTTTTAGTATGAAAATTAAAATTTTTATAATAGAAAACTGCTTTAAGAAGCAGTAAAAAAGCCATCCCAAATAAAGACTTTGGGAAAGCTTTCTTATTACGTCTTAAAGCAAGCAGCTTCCTAGTACAAAAATTTTAAGAAAGCTACCCTAAACGAAGCTTAAGGCTTCGTTCATGATGGCTTTCTTTCTGCTTCTTAATGCAGTTTTATAGTACAAAAATTTTAATTTTTATATTAAAAAGTTGTTTAAGAAGTAATAAGAAAGCAGTCCCAAATAAAGACTTAGGTTTCGTTTGGGATGGCTTTCTTACTGCTTCTTAAAGCAGCTTTCTAATACAATAAATAAAAATTTTATACTAAAAAGATGCTTTAAGAAGCTGTAAAAAAAACCGTCCCATGCTTCATTTGAGACAGTTTTTTTACTGCTTCTTAAAGTGACTTTCTAGTTAAAAATTTTAAATTTTTGTACTAGAAAGCCGCTTTAAGAAGTAAAAAAGAAAGCTGCCTCAAATAAAGCCGTAATCTCAACCAAATTTTGCTTACCTAGAGAAGAAGGAAGTAAAGCATCTCATTCCAGGAATCAGGCACGCCTGGAAGGCACCAGTGGCTGCAATCTAGCCCTAATTCTGCAGGAGAGTCCATTCTTCCTTGGTTAACATGAGATTTGGTGTACAGTGATGGGTGCCCATCTCTCCTTAGAGCTGACATCTTTGCGACATCGATAAGATAAACTGGAAAGCTCATCTTGTTTAGCACCCCACGTAGCACTGTAAGTTGCCCTGGTGCTTCAGGGCTGTAGCTTAGATATACCAGTGGCTCTCTGACCTTATAGCATTGCCAACCGTTCTCCCTGAAATCAAATTATATATGAAAATTTATGCATTATTTTAGAAAAAAAAAATGAAATTTAGTGTTTTTTAATTTTAGGGTTTATGATTATAGATGTATATCTTGATAAGTTTCCAGCTTTCTAGTAGAAAAATGTTAATTTTTATACTAAAAATTTGCTTTAAGAAGCTTTAAAAAAGCTGTTCCAAACGAAGCCTAAAAAGTCTGGAGTGCTCGAAATTGCTTGATGTGGAGGTGAATGTCAAATGTTAGCACGTCAAGTGATCAAAATTTCATAATCATCTTGGCTGAATTCATATAGCGGGGTTTACATGTTTCTTCGTCGATAATAATCACAGAAGGGCCCAATGTGACACTGGAAGGTTAGATGGTTTCTCAAGAGAAAATCAATGGCTATTGCAAAAGCTAGTGACTCACATAATGGTTCGATATAAATCTACGTACCGATTATGACGGGCAGATGCACTGCGAAACATAACACGAGTTCTTCGAGGATCTAAGTTCATATCCACCCACTTTGACCATGTGGTAAGTCCCTTCTCATAAGCTACCATTGGATTCAACTCCTTAAACAACCTTCCTTCTTCCATATACAAGTCCCACCTAAACCATTACATTGAAAATACACATAATCACATAAAATTAACAGAGATTAGGCTTTCATTAGTTGATTAAAAATGATTATTAAGCTCACGAGCTCCATTTCCCTGTGTGAGTCCACCAATGAGCAGAATCAAACATGAGAACATCTACTTCTCTCCAGTACTTGGCATTCTCTTCAATGGAGTCAAGGTGAAGGATTCTCTTCTTCTCTCCTTCTTCTCTCAGTTCTACAAGAAGAGGAGCCCACGAAAACTCTATGGAAGCCTCATAATCCTGCTTAAATATTCATATATTTAAAATTATTTTAAAAAATATAAATGCAAAATAACCTTTTTTTGTAATTTGTTTTTTTTTTCATAATATCAAAATGATAAATCTGCAATTATTTTGAATGTTCTCACCAAGGCATGGAAGGCCACACAGGGGCCATTGGAAGAAACCAATTTGCGATCAACTGGAATGACTGCTTCCACCAAGCAGACGAGAGACTCCCATTGGCTTCTCATTATGGAATCTCCCACAAGCATTACTCTCTTCATTCTTATTCTCTCTAGAAAATCTAAGGCATTAAACCTTAAACCAAGATTAATCAATCAATTAATCAGCCTTAATACTAAAAATTAATAGATAATTTATCTAAAACACTTATTTGCAATCTACAATCACTAACTGAATAATATTTAGTGAGATCAATAAGCTATTTTTGCTAGAAAACTATGTAAATTAAGGCTCGTAATTTGAAAAACTAGCCGTTAGAGAGTAATTAAACTGTCATCTTCCATGGCATTTAAACCTTGGAAGGGAGCACCGCCGTGGCTTCCAACGCCACTTCTCATAGTCGGAATCCGGCCGGCCATTCCTCCGGCAACTAAGCTGGCTACTCAGAAACGGGCAGCTCCCTTCATAAAGAGGGTAAGATGCATCAAAAACCCACTCTCCCATAGTCAAATCACAGTCTCTTGATGGCCTCTCCAAGCTCTGAAATTTGGTAACCTCATCTTCCTTCTCTCCACCACCGCTTCGCTTCACCGGTGGCTCGCCGTCGTGAAAAGACAGAGAAAGGTTAAAGCAAAGGCAGAAGGTGAGAAGAAAGAGGAGAGGAGTGAGAAGTTTATGCCTTGGAATTGTAGCCATTTGGATGCTATTTGGTTGAGAAGAAATTGGGTTATCTTTATATAGTTGGTAGAAAGGAGAAAGTTCTGTTGGATAATAAGAATAGCTATATCAGAAGAAGAAGAGAAGAAGAAGAGGTAGAGAAAATTTTGAGAAGGAAACTAATATTTTTCTATAATACTGTTAAAAAATATAAATTGATTTAAGAATAGAGGTTGGTTGGTTTGATATAAAAGGGATGTAGGAGCACAATCTAATTCAATTTTGATATGTTTGAAAATCATTTAAAATTGGTCAGATTTTTAAATACATTGTAAATCCTATGTCATTGCCATCGACCACCTTCACCATCGCTCGTTACTGTCGTCGCCACCACAGTCGAAACTGTCGGTCGCTAGCGCTACCCACCAGCCACCATCATCATTGGAATTTACATTACATGTATTTTCTTCAAATCAAACAAAAATAGGAATACTCTGTATTTCTTAACACTGATCCAAACAACTTCATATATTTCAAATATATTGCATTCCTTTTATAGCCAACATTTCTTTTCATCCAACCAAATGGCTTCTCAGCGAATTTATAGCTATTTTCGGAGCTTTTGATAAGCTCAAATAAATTATTCAATGGCGAAATCTCTAACAACTTCGCTCTGATCGGATGAATAACTTTTGTATGCTTGGGCGAGTTCATCAGCGGTTTATTACATCCAATTTATAATAATAATGTGATTTGATTATGGGGAGGGATTTATGGTTTGATTTTGTTGATTATATGAAGCATGAGGAATTGAGTTGCTATCGAGTGTGTTGGGCACGAGCATCCATGGAAAAGGTAGAAGGAATCAAAGGCTTTTTAGGGGTTCAGAGCTTCATGATTTGGTTGTGGCATGCAGATGTTCATATTCATAAAGAAATTGGAATTGGATGTATTAATTTATTTTTATTAAGAGAAGAACAAAAAAAAAACGATTAAAATAAAAAATAGAGAATATCTTAAGTGGAATAAAAAAACGATTAATTTATTTTTATTTGAGTATTATTTTTTTAAAACTTATAAAAAAATTTCATTTTTTTTATAGCAACTTCTAAAAAAATACTTTCACCACAAAACTTTCTATTTTGATAGTAAATTCAATCCTTAATAGGCATTGTCTTCACTTTATACATTGCTTCAGAGGTGGGATTATATTTCTTTAAAGGCATGTAGAAGAATTCTGCATTTTAGGGGGCAGCTTCTTGCATAAAAAATATATTTTGGTGATCACTTTGCATGAGGAGTACATCAGAGACATTGAATTATAGGTCCGTAAAAAATCACAAAACTCTCTAAAAATATAGCATTTGAAATAAAACCTACGAACTATTGGTTCTACCTATTACAATAAACCAAGAAATAATAAAAAAATAACAATCAGAAGAAGCCCAAAGTGGCAACCAACCAAGAGAGCAGCTACCTATAACCAGTAAAATTCACTAGTCGATGCTGCAACAGCTAGGAAAAGTCCACCTACAGAAAGACAACGCATAACCAAGCAAGAGCAAAAAGGGGCCATAAACACAACCCCCACAAGGCATGAACACTCCAACAACCCACAGAAGGGAACCACAACAACAAATAATAAAAGAACAAATCAAAAGAGTAACTAAGCGGAAGCCCAAGAAGACAAACAACAACCAAACAATACACTCCCTTGCAGACAAGAAAAAGCCAGCCGACCAACCAACCAAAGAGGCCAACAACTTAGGAGCTACAAACCAAACAAGAAAATACCCCACACGCACAAGAAGAAGAAAAGTGAAGAATAAAAGGCCGAACAACCACAAGCCCAACAAAAAATCACCTCTTTTTTGATTTATGCCTCCAACGTTTGCCACCACCATGAGAAAATATTTTTTGAACAATATTACTCACATTTAAACTATACAACTCTTGATAAGTATCCTCCGGCTTATCCAAATCATCCCCAGCATCCCCGTAAGGCAAAGAGAAAGACCCATCCAGCCAATCTGATTGATCCACACAACTTTGTATAAATTTGGAAGTCAATTGAGTTTTCAACCCATCAGAAGAGAAAAGCGCAATTGAAACATCAACAAAAGGCACATCCCCATTCGGCCCCATACTACCATCCGAAATAACATTAGAGACAAAAAACGAGAGCATTTAAAATAGGCATTTCAACATTCATGTCCGTAGGAATACAAGCAGTATCGAGAGGCTAATAAGCCAAACCAACTTCATTCATAATTGACACATCATAAATTAAAACCTCGAAAGGAATAATAGCTTCACCACTTTCCAAAGACTCAGAATTACCACCAAAATTTGAAATGGTAGACACAATGGAAATGGCTTAAAAATTAGTCATACAAGATTCAGTTCTCACAACCGCATTAACACTCTCAATGTTAACAGAAGAAAAAGCCATATGTATAAGAGAATCCTGTGGAACAACTTCAACCATAGCAGAAATGACATCAACCCTCTATACAACAACACGAGGAGCGCTAGGCACAACCTCCAGTTCAAGTTAAACAACAACTCCAACTACCTCCACCCCAAAATCAGATTCCACCCCGTTGCACCCATTAATGAGGACCTCATTATTAGACGTAACATGACACAAAAGAGTATTAGGAATATCAACATCAACATTTCCACTGACAATAATATTTTCCAAAGCACCAATTTCATTCCCATCAGATTTAAGAAGATTAGAAGTAATAACATGAACATTCATCGGGACAGAGAATAAGGTCCGACAATTCCACACATGCCCAATAGAATTACAATGACCACAAAAGGGTAGGAAATCCTCCATCTTAACAAGATAGATGTATCCAAACTTAGCAGGACCGAGCCACACTTTGTCTGGATACTTTTTGTAATGTCAAGCTCAACTAAAACGTGCACAAGAGATAGTTGAGAGCCAACAAAGGTGGTATTGTCAACTTTTAACGGACAACCAAACATCAAATCCAAAGTATGAAGAATACTGAGAGAAAAGAGATGAGGCCATAAGTTTGAGAATGAAATCCAAATGGGAATAACAGAAGACTCAACACCAATGTCAAGAAAGGGAGACCATTTGATTAATTTTATGTAATAATTATTAACAAAATAAGATAAAGGGCAGAACACTCTACTATAATATATTTCATTCATAAACTTAATCAAAATATGTGACATGTCGAGCAAGGTTACCAAAAAGTCAGCAATGAACTTAAGGTTGAAGAAAACCCTACGGATAGAATCCATGCTAGAACGTGCGGGAAGGAAAAAAATCAACTAACACACACTGGAAAAGAGTCGCAAGCGCAAGGATCTCCTCTTCCGAGATCCATAAAGAGGGTAAACTACAAAAGGTAGACGTTTTGAGCTCAGGAAAATATATGTCAGAGGAAGAACTAGATAAGGTATCTAAGAAAGAACACGATTTCTTTTATCCATAAAAAATTAGGATCCAAGAATTGATTGACCACCATTTTGACCGTGGACGAAACTAAAAAATAAAAAAAAAGTACAAAAAACAACAATATAGAATAAAAGGGGAACTTCCTGAAGCTAGCTGAGATGGAGTGACGGCAAAAGCCGCCGGGAGGAAACCCAAGCGGAGCAGAGAGACATAATATAAAACCATAGCTAAGAGAGCGGAGAGGAAAAGCAAAAAAAAAAGAGTAAATATTTAAGAAAAGAATTCAAAATTAGATGCTAACCTTTCGCTTGTAACCAGTCATACTGTGTTAGTTCCACTCTTTTAAGATGAAAATAAGTGATTTGAATCTCACGGTATTCTATAATATTATGAAATTCAAAATATTCATTAACTTTAAAGACCCATGTGTGGACATCAACACCACTAAACAATATAATTTGATGTTCATTGAATTGAGAAATAGTACAAAATAGGCAACATATCAAGTTGTTAAAGACTGAAAGAGTAGACTTAGTAAATCCTCACCGCCACCATCTTCCAACATGCAAGAAATTATTGGTGATGGACTCAAACTAAGGATTAGAGTGTTGATTTGAACAATACAATTCATTTTGCTTTTGCATTGACCCTTGACAATGATCCAATTCCTTCATGGCTAAGAACAACAATCATGCTAGTTGGTACATTATATGAAGCTTTATCTAGTACCAAAGCCCAATCACTATTAATTGACAACAATGCTAGATCATTTCATTTTAACTCTTTTTATTCATTCTAATAGATTTGTTGTAGTTATCTTGTAGCCATCGTTTTTGATCCTTCCATCTATTTAGAAGTCTTAGACCATCACTGTTGTCTTTCATGATTTGAGTCGGAGACATTACGTAAAAATTTGAAAATATTGAGTCAATTTTCTTCACTCTTTAATTGAGTCATTCATCACAATGTCTTTATCAATGAATGATTTATCCTTTTTGGTAATATCATAATAAGAAGTAATATTACACATGCTAATTTTCCCCTAATGATTTTCTTATCAACCCTAAACAATAATAGAAAACATATAGCCAAGTAGGACCTCCTCATATATCAAAATGGGCCAATTTTCTTCCTTCCCATTGCTGTATCTGATAAAGCCCAAATTGTAACGGGCTTTTTCTATCCTTTATAAAATCTGCTAACCTAGTTTCGGAAAGGGAACTGACGCCTCCGGCTACCCAGCCTCTGTGGCGGCTTCTCCACCACTTTCAGCTCAAACCCCTGCTACTCCTTCTCATGGCGAGAAGGAGAAGGAAGAGCTAACACTCTCCATTCCTCAGCTCCAACCGCTTCCCATGCTCTTCCCCGCCCGTTCCTGCAAAACTCTTTCATCAATCTTCGTTGGCTTCTCCTTTCCAAAGGTGCGTTCTTCGTTCTTCTCTCCTCTTCTCCACCACTCTCATAAGCCCTTCTCCAAGCTCCTCACCGAGAAGCCGCAATTCGATTCCCTAATTTTAGGAATCCTCAAATACAATCCCCACGCCTTCACCTCCGGCTTCCGTGCTCCTGCCCGCCTCAAGCCTCTGATCTCCGACCGACACCTTTTCCTCTGCACCATTCATTCCATCGGCAACCAGCCTCGCGTCGCTCTGCGCTTCTTCCGCTGGGCCGAGCGCCAGCCCGGCTTCCACCGATCGGAGATCCCTTTCTGCGCCGTGCTCGAGATCCTCGCCGACGCCGGGCTCATGAAGGCTGCATATTCCGTTGCTGACAGGGCTTTGAGCTTTGGTCTACATGGAATCGTCGACCTTTTGATCGGAAAGTATGTGAATTCGGACGTTACTATAAAGCTACTTAATCTGCTTTTATGGATGTACACCAAGTGTTCGATGGTCGAACGCGCATTGTCAACCTTTCGTAAGATGATGGACAATGGTTTCTTGCCGGAAATTAAGAACTGCAATCGGATTCTTAGGGTATTGCGGGACGGGAACAGGTGGTCTGAAGTCAGAGCAGTTTATCACGAGATGGTCAAGGCAGGAGTGCAGCCTACTATTGTTACTTACAACACAATGCTTGATTGTTACTGTAAGGAGGGGCAGGCTGAAGAGGCCTATATGCTTCTACTTGATATGGAGTTTAAGAATTTCACTGGCTGCTTGCCTAATGATGTTACTTACAATGTTGTGATCAATGGATTATCGAAGAAGGGTGAATTGGAGAAGGCTGAGAAGTTGCTTGCGAAAATGCAAAGTTCAGGGAATGCTTCTTCTTACTCTTATAATCCACTGATTAATGCTTTGTTTAGCAAGGGATTCGCTGATCGAGCATTGCTTTTTGAAAATGATATGTTGGGAAGAGGAGTGGTGCCTTCTGTGACAACCTATAATACTATAATTTATTGGCTTTGTAAGATGGGAAAGGTAGAAGAAGCTAGGCGAAAGTTTACAGAGATGGAATCGAATGGTTTGGTGCTGGATGTGGTTTCTTACAACTCTTTGATGTATGGTTATTGCCGTTTGGGGAATGTAATGGAGGCTCTTTCTTTGTTTGAGGATTTGCGAAGAGCCCGAATTGTTCCTACGGTGAGAACATTCAATATAATTATCGATGGTCATTGCAGGTTGGGAGCTCTTGAGAAGGCTAGGAAGCTTAAAGAGTATATGATAGAATTTGGCTTTCACCCTGATGTTTATACTTATACAATCCTTGTGAATGGGTCTTGCAAGACAGGGGATCTTGCTATGGCTAAAGGATATTTTGATGAGATGCTTCATAAGGGACTTCAGCCAGATTGCTTTGCATATGATACAAGGATAGCTTGTGAATTGAAGCATGGGGAGTTATCTGGAGCTTTCCAACTGAGGGAGGAGATGGTAGCTAGAGGTGTTTCGCCTGATATAATCACTTATAATATTTTACTCGACGGGATTTTCCGGACAGGAGATTGGGATGAAGCTTACTGGTTGTGGAGGAAGATGATCAATGATGGATTAGTTCCTGATTGTGTAACATATACTTGCATAATCCATGCCCTTTGTGGTAAAGGGCATATAGACAAAGCAAAAAAGGTTTTTGATAGAATGTTGTGCAATAATGTTTCTCCATCAGTAGTAACTTATACAGTACTGATTCATGCTTATGCAAGCAAAGGAAGTTTTGGGATAGCCTATGAATTCTTTGTTCAGATGCTGCAGGAAAATGTGCAGCCAAATGAAATAACTTACAATGCTCTTATAAATGGCTTGTGCAGAACTAGAAATGTTAGGTTGGCTTATAGGTGTTTTTATGAAATGCAGGAAAGGGGGCTAATCCCCAATAAATACACTTACACTTTGTTGATAAATTTAAGTTGTGATTTAGGTTATTGGGATGAAGTAAAAAGGTTGTATTGTGAGATGCTTGAGAAAGGTATTCTTCCTGATTCTTGTACCTACAGTGTTTTGTTTAAGCATGTAGGTGATGAGCTCAAGGATAATACAGTTTATTACCTGGATAATTATGTGCTTGCTGGTTAATTCGATAACTTCGAATGCCACAATTTTGAATGGACATACTAGTGAGTGCAAGTGTTGCTTTCACTTCAGCCAACTCTTGCTCTTAGAAAAAGTGATGAGTGGGTTTGTTCCTCCAGAGCGCTCGACAGAGAATAAGGAGGTTCAGTGGTGGATTTGGCCCTTCATCTAGGCTTGCTAACATGACTATGGCTTCATGAAAGTGGTATGTACTCTAGCTGTGCATTCCATGGCGTCATATAATTTCTTGAGCTCACTTGACTAGGAGTTAATGATGAATGTGACCGATGAGATATGCGAAGCTCAATAATGCATATTGGCAACTTGTTAGGAAAAAGCATAAATTGCTGCACCACCTGCATTGTGGCTTTATTGCCATGGAAATGTTTCACATGACAAATAGATATTCATCTACCAGAATTGGTTATCTCACAATTATTCACGAGGTATGCTGATTTTTGTAAGATGTACTGTATTCCAATTTTTTTAATTTATGTGGCGCATTTACTCTTTTTTTCTAATTTTATGTTTATTCATTGAGGAGAAACCATTATTTTTTCTACGGTTATTAATCAATGAGAATAAAGTTTGATTTAGATTGAAGATTTGGGATGAAAAATGCATGAATTATTTTTTATTCAACTAATGCTGATTTAGCAGTTTTTGACCCCGCAGTCAAGTTGCACATGTTTCATTGATTAAGCTAAAAGTCATTATAATTTAAATTTGATATTGTTCTTTCCAGTTTTATGGTGGGAAAAGCTGAGATGGCTTTGAATGTTTTTTTTTTTGTTAATAATGTAGGAGGAGGAATTGAATTGTAATTAGCACGTTCATATTGCTCATTAATCATTTTATTGATTTGATCCAAATAATGCTTTGACAAGTTGAAACAGCAAATTGTAGCTGCTACTGATTGCACTTGGATTTAGGGCTGGTCATATTTACTTATCTTCACCGTTAGGTAATTTGACAAGCTTATAAACATTAACCATAATGTCCACCTTTCTTTTTTGGTGCTAGAGATCTTAAGCTCATTTTCACCTTTGTAACACACAATTTTGTTCGAACTTTTTCATCAACATTAGTTATGATCGTCCACCATTCTTTTGTAGTGCGAGACTTAATAAGCTCATTTTCCTTTTTATAGAACTAACAATTTGGTATAATTTTTTTTTTTTCAAGACTAGCCTTAGCAATCTTCTTTCTTTTTTAAACGTTTCATCAAATGCTGGACATATTAAGCTCGTTTGCCTGCCTATGTAATGTTGATGATATTAATCACTTTTTATTGGCATTATCCATAGTCGATGCTCCTCCCCCTTTTTTTTTTGATGAGGAAAGTTGTTTGAAATCAGTGCACTATATTTGTTCCTCTCTTCCACAAAAAAAAATTGGGATGGTCGTCAAACAAACATACTAAAAAATAAAGAATGTTGCTCTCATTTACGAGATCAAAACTAAGATTTCAATAATCATGCAAGATAATCTTCATATTATTGAATACTTTAATGTAATGAAGGTTTATTGGCTTAGAGTGGTTTATCATCAAGATCTTAAGATGGCAAGATGGGATGATGCTATAATTCTCAAGCAATTTATAAAAGGAGAAATGGTGTTTGAGTTCCTTACACGACTTACTAATTACTTCAACCAAGTTCACATTTAAATCTTAAATAGAGAGAAATTACCATCACTAAATGAGGATTTTTTTCTCTCATATGAGCCAAAGAAGGAAGGACTTATGCTTGATGCTCCATTCTCCAAAATATCTTCTATGCCAATCATCAAACCTTATCTATAGATTATTTTCTTAAAGAATCTCAAAAGCCTTCTTACATAGGCAATTTATGATACAACTACTGCAAGAAGGACACAAAAATGTTGAAAACTCCACGAAAAGCTCTTAGGTAATGGTGTAAATTAAAAGGTCACTAGAAAAGTTGATCTATCATGTGAAATCATAAGGGCTAACAATTCAGAAGAAATTGATAAGCTTAGAAATTTCCGCAACTCTTTAAAAAAAAATCATCTTGATCATGCTTGTAAACTCAAATTGATATGACTTCTAATTATTATATTTTTAGTTCTTTAAATAATTCCTCTCACACTTGCATCTTAGATTCAAGAGCCACTGACTATATGATCAACCTTACTAATCTTTTTCAAACCTAACAATAGAAAAATAAAAGTGATTGATGATTTTTTAACATCTGTTGCAGATCAAGTAAATCTTTTAATTTTTTTATGTATTTATTCTCAGTAATGTATTGCATGTTCAATATATTACAATAAACCTTTTATTAATTCATAAAGCCATTAAAGACCACAATTGCAAGGTAATCCTTTTTTGTTAACAAATGTGTATTTCATAAGATAGACGATTGGGCAAGCTAGAGAAAAGAATAGGCTATATTTCCATGAAATTGAAAACCACTCATCATGTTCCCTTATTTCCACTTTTACTACAAAAGTCATTTGGCAACATTATTGTAAGTTATGACTTCCCTCTTTCAAAACTCTATAAGATTTGTTTTGTTCTCTTTTTTTGATGTAAACATCAAAAATTTTTGTTGGGAGACTTGTGAAATTATCAAGTATCATCGTGTTATTTTTCCTGAATGTTATTTTAGATCTATTTCTTTTTTCTAATTGTTCACTTTGATATTTGGAGATTTTAAAAAATTCTCAATATTTTTGGAGTTTTAGGATTTGCCATCTTAATATCTTCGAATGACATTAGTATATCTTATCAAACAAAAATCTTATGTCAGTATTCTTATCCCTTTTTTTACTACAATGATATAAAATAATTCCATGCTAATATTAAGATATTTTTATTGGTAATGCTCGTGATTACTTTAATCATATATTATTATCTTTCTTTGAGAAAGAATGTATCATCTACTAAGGGTGTAAGTGAGCCTAACTAAGCTTATCGAGCCGCAAGCTCAAGCTCGAGCTAAAACTCGATCTCATCTATTAACGAGCTCGAGTTCAAGCTTGATGAGGTTCGGCTTGCGAGCTGGCTCGCAATTATATAATTTATTGATTTTTTTTCTTAAACAAATTAGCAAATAATTTTTTTCCACTAATAAAATCTGTTCAGAAAAGCAACAAGCTATTAAAAAAAACAACATCCTTGATTTGAATATATTTTATATTTCCAAGAAAAGAGCTGTTTTACATTAACGAGGTCCTAGTAATTTTCAACAACAACAACAACAACAAGAAGCCTTTATTCCACTATGTGCGGCTACATGAATCCTTTTTCTCTATTGTGTTCTGTTAAGTGTCAAATTCTCATCTAAATCTAATAAAGAAAGGCTATTTCTAATGTTTTCTAATCAAGTCTTTTTAGGTCTACCTGTACCTTTCTTAACATAAGTCAAATCTAAAACATCTACTTTTCTAATCGGGTCATCAGAAGGCTGCCGTTTTATTGACCAAACCATCTAAGGCGACTCTCTCTAATCTTAACTTCCACTGGAGCTACTCCAAGCTTTTCACGTATATGCTAATTTCATATCCTGTCTTTAAGAGTAAAGCTACTAATCCACCTGAGCATCCTCATCTCTGCAACACTTAACTTAATATTATGGTTCTCTTTTAATGGCCAACATTCTGCACCATAAAGCATTGCATATCTCACTACCATCTTATAGAATTTTTCCTTAAGTTTGAGAGGGGTTTTTCTATCACATAACAAGCTTGATGCATTCCTACAATTCAACCATCCAACATGAATTTTACTAATAATATCCTCATCTATTTCACCATCACTATGAAAAATGGATCCAAGATATCTAAAACGTGTGCTCCTATTAATGACTACTTTTGCAGATCTTAAACAATAGACCCAAGGTTGTAGTAATTTTCATACAATAAAAATAAAAAAATACACTACTCTTGCAGTTCTAAAAAAATAAATAAAAAATTTGCTTCCTCCTTTTCTCACCATCTCATGCAATTGCCAATCGAGACTTCATCGACCAAAAACACAAGCTCGAGACATGCTACAATAGCACACCTTTTTCTCCAGCAATGTGCGTTCTTCCTCTCCGGCGGTATCACGTGAGGTTGCCTTTTGTGTGATCTCACAAGCTGCTCACGAGCCTATTTTCATTGCCTCGAGTTGAGCTCGAGCTCTTCTTTTGAGCTCGACTTGAGTACGAGCTCGTGATTTGGTTTGCGAGTCGAGCACGAGTTAGGCATGACTCAAGCTCAACTCGACTCGTTTACACCCCTGCCATTTACCAATCCTCTTTTCGTGACACTATACGACAAAATGAAATGATAGAAAGAAAAAATTGCTATCTTTTAAATTCGTTATGATTTTTTTTTCCAGAAAAAAGTGCCAAAAAATTATTGGGGACAACTAGTCTTAGCCGTTTTATATTTAATCGATAGAATTCCCATAACAATGATTAGTTTCAAAAGTTTTTAAAATTATATAGCTGAATTTTTCCTTACAAATAACTTTCTATTAAAAATTCTTAAAAAAATTTGGTTACATTGCCTATGTACACATCCACAAACAACACAGGAGTAAACTTGATTGTATAACTCTCAAATGTGTATTTATTGGATATTCCTGTGCCAAAAAAGGCTATAAATGTTATATTATCTTACCATAAAAAAAATTTACTTCAAAATATGTCACTTTTGGTAAGTAGCAAAGTTTTTTCAATCAAATTTAACTTTAGGAAAATGACTCTCAAGTGGAAGGTAATTTTGATGAAACCCTTTTCATCTTGACATTTTTACAACACAATTTCGAAAAAATTCATACATTGCACCCCTACAAGTCTATATAAGAAGGAAAAAGTCTAGCTAAAATCTCTCACAACCGCAAGAATTGGAACTGTTATCAGGTAACAATGATTAACCCATCCCTATGCATTCTCCTATATATTTTATCTCTCAGTACACTTTTTTCAAAGTTTTCTCTCACCCATAAAGCCTTCCATTCAAATATTAGCTTTGATTTTATTATAATATAACTCTATTTATGGCACTTGAAAACAACAATTGGAAGAATGTTATGAGAGTATAGATGAAGCAAAAATCTATTTACAACCTACTATTTTATTCTTAGTTCAATGATCCCCTAAATGTTTTATTTATATATAAAACATAAAGCAATGGTGATGGGGACATCAGATCATCATGGAAAGCTTACCAGCGACGTGGCCGCCGATCTACGGCCACGATCGAGTCTTTATATTTTTGAGTCGATGTATTTTATTTTCATGCATTTTATTATTTGCTTTGTGTGTTTTATTATTTTCCATTGTACCCCTTTTTATGGGAGTTGTCATGTGTAAGCCTAAGGGCATTTGTGTCATTTTATTTGGAGTCTTTTGTATGAGGCTATTTAAAGCCCCCTTTGTATTATTTTGAGGTTAATGAATGATTGCTTATGATATTTTCTCTTGAATGAGTT